TCCTCTTTTGTCCTGAAGGGTTGTCTCTGGTCCCTGCCAGAGATTTGATGGGGCGAGGATGAGCAGGGGCAGCTGGGCTCCCCAGGGCCCTGAGGTGGGGGGAGTACTGTTCGTTCCCTGATGAGGCTCCTTGTTGTGAGAGGACCTGGGAGCCATCCTGGGCCCTAACTCTTGGTGCACTAGGGTACACTGATCCTGGATGCAGGCCCAACCCATGTCCCCGACTCAGGCTGAGGTTCCGGCTCCTTCTGTGGCCACACTGAGCTCTGGCTAGAATGATTGCCACATGTTAGGCACTTTACCTATGTTTCCCAGTTAATGTCCCCACAACAGCCTCATGACGTACATGCTATAGCATCCCATTTTCAGAGGGGAAATTGAGGCTCAGAGGGAAGTCGGTTGTCCGAGGCCACACAGCTGGTGGGTGGTATGTGTAGGATTTGAACTCAAGCTTGTCTGGCTCTAAGACCCCACCCTTACCCACCTGGTGCCATTGCTAACCTGGCCCCAGATGGCCACAGCTGACTTACAAACCCAAGGCTCACGGGTGGTGGAACAGGGGCCCCAGGTGTGGCTACACCCTGCTTCTCAAGTATTGAATAAGGAGGTGCTTTTGCCTTTTTGGACAGGACACTCAACTCCCTGGGCTGTGCCAGGAATTCCTAAGCTTCCCCCCTCTCCTCTGGCGGCCCGTCACCAGCCCTGGTCTTGGAACACACCCTGTGGCCCCCAACTCCCTCCTCCCCAGGTCCCTCTGAGGACTCTGTGCTCATTTCCCAGGAGGGACTTCGAGGCGAGGGGCTGAGAGCAGCTGTTGGCTGGGTTTTCAGAGAACTGGGGACGGGGGAGGGGGATGGTGAAGGGAGGAGGTGGGGGGTGGCCTGGAGCACTCGGTTTCTGGGTCATTGGTCCTGGGGAATTCCCTGATGCCCAGGGAGCTGCCTACCTGGTGAGTAACAGCTTCTGGCTGCCCACACAGGCTGCCTGACTGAGGGTACGTCCCCACTGCCCCCTGCCAGTGGCCACTGCCATGTTGCCCTCTCTCCTGAGTGCCCCGGGGCCCAGGAAAGAGACAGACAGACATGCAGAAGGCTGGCCCCCACCCCCGCATCCCCCCTTTGGGCTCTGCAGGGGGCGGCTGGTGATTCAAGCCCCTCTGAACTGAGCTATGTCTCCTTCCTTCTCAGATGGGGCCTGGGGGTGAATCAGCTCCTGGGGGCGGTAAGGCTGGGTCAGCTGCCTCAGCTCAGGCTTGAGCTGGGGGTGGTGTGGGGCCAGGAGCACACTGCCATGCCAGCCCCCCACTCAACCTGCCTGATCTTTCTGGGAGCCCCTGAAGCTGGAGGCTGTTAAGGATGTCCTCCTTCCACGCACCATCAGCAGAGGGCTGAGGGGTCCCTCTCCCACCCAGCTTTCCCTCTCAGATCTGGAGTGTGCCGAAGTTTCCTCATCTGCAAAATGGGGACAAGACCCCTGCTTCACAGGGAGGTCCACACAACCCATGCTGACATGTAGGGAGAGGGCTTGCTGGGTGCCCACAACCATGCTGAGCCCTCACAGCAAACCTACTACGTAGGTGCCATTATTCCCATTTGACAGATGAAGAAACTGAGGCCAGAGGTGGTTACCTCCCCAAAGTCACCCAGCTCATAACTGTCAGAGCCAAACCTCCAATCTGTTTCTGAATGAGGTCAAAGTCCATGCTTCAAATCCTCAGACTTCCTGCCTCCTCTCCAGGAGAGATTTGGCACAGATAGTACTTGGAAGTTGTAAAATGCTTTCAAAAAATACTTAGCATCTACTCTGGGTATAACCCTGAGCCAGGTGCTGTCAAGAGTACAAATGAGTATCAGACCCCATCCAAGCCCTCAAAGACAGAGGAATTAGACTTGTCCCCACTTGAAACAAAAGCAGGCAGGACAAGGCAGCTGAGAGCCATCAGGGCTGTGGGAAACAGGGAGCACTTCCTGGAGGAAGCCAGCCTCCTAACGTGAGGTGCTGCTGGGATAACTGTGGCCTGCAAGCCAGAGGCCTGAGTTCCAGATGTGGCTCAACTGTTAACTCTTTGTGTGGCCCTGGACAAGTTTCTTTACCTCTCTGAGCCTCAGTTTCTCCATCTGAAAAATAAGCAGCTGTGACATTCTAGGAGAGACTTGCAGATGGTGGGTAAAAATCAGCAGAAAGAGAGGGGCTGGATGGTCACACGTGCCAAAGTGTGTCGGAGAGAGAGCCCTGAAGTTTCCTGGGATGCTCTGGGCCAGCCTACATGCTCCTTCCTGGGGAGATGAACAACCGGACAGCCCAGCCACCTGGAGACAGCACCTCTAGGCCTGGCCTGGCAGCCCCCTGCCCAGGCCGAGGGGACCCCCATGTGGGCCTGACTGTTCCCTTCATCCTGAGGCCAGTCAGATCCCAAGCAGATCCAGTGTGCAGGAGCCGGACAGGCTGCAGATGAAATCACAGCTGGAAGGGGCCAGGCTGGGGCTGCCACTCCAGGGTGGGGCCTGGGGTCACAACCTTGGGAGCAGGCAGCCAAGAAGGGAGGATGTCTTCTGTGAGGGAGCTGGCGGGGGAAACACACACACAGCAGCATAGAGAGGGAGGGAAGAAAACAAACTCTGGGAGGCCAAAGCTGGCCTGGAGTGCGGCCTGGACGGCTGATTCCTGGGGGCCGCAGCCACGTTGCAGGCGGCTCACAAAGTTGCGGTTGGCTCTGAGATCCTGCCCGGCCTTCCCCCCAGAGGCCCAACACAGGTGGTGCCTGGGCATGGACAAGAGAGGGAGGCTGGGCCTGTGGCACCAAGGGGCCCAGAGCACTTGGGGAGCACATACCAAGTCAGGTACTGTGAGAGGGGAACTGAGGCACGGAAGGGGGCCTGTCAGGGCCAGGGTTAAGTGGTCCTAGCATCAGTGTCTTCTAGACCCTGTTCCCACTTCCTGTTTCCTGTGTGGTGGGGCTGGGATGAAATGGCTATTGGGGGTGGATGATAGCGCTGATGTGGGGTCTGGGGCACCAGAGGGCACTGCAAGGCCCAAGAAGTCCACTGGGAAGGCTGTAGGGGAGAGACGGGGTGGTGACCTTCAGGACAGCCAGAGCACTTAGTGAGAGATTCAGGCAGGGGACAGGGGATTGATAGAGGGGAGCCACAGGGAGGCCCTTGTTAAATGGATGTGGGGTCCACGTCAGGAGAGCCAGACTGAGTCAGGTGACAGGGGCTGGGAGATGTGGGAGCAGAACTGAGGGCTGATCCAGAGGTCACATGTTCTGGGTGGTCAGGTCCTGTGCAGGAGATGCTGGAGGGGGCTGCTGAGAGAGTGGGTAAGCTAGGGGTCCTGGGATGTAGGGCTGCCTTCACCAGGCCAGGGTGGGTGGGCCTCCTGGGGGTGTATGAGAGCAGTAAGTGCCAGGTGGGGCCCTCCACAGCCCTCCACGGAAGAGACAAGGTGGGGGGAGCAGGGAGGAGAACAGAAGAGGAAGGACAGCCAGTGTGGACTCCACCAGCCTCCTCCCTGCTGGAAAGTGCCAGCTGTGACGGGCAGTTTTATCATCCCACATCCGAGGCCCTGCCGGGAGAGCATGGGGGAACAAAGGCCTGGATCGGGCAGGGTGCGTTGGGAGGGGAGCGGGGACAACAGCAGGCACGAGGGCTCGTCCTGGCACGATGAGGGAGGAGCATGGAGCTGGGCAGGTCCGGGATGTGGCAAGAGGCAGGAGCTGGGGGCATGGAGGAGGGGCAAGGGGGCAGCGGGGGTGGCAGGGCCCGGGCAAGGCCGCAGGAGCTCCCTGGCCTTGGAAAAACTGACCTTGATCTTGGGTCAGGGTCAGGTGGGAGGGTTGGGGTGGGATCCCCCAGGGGAATGCGGCATCTCCTGGTATGGGTGTGCTGGCAGCTTTAGGGACAGCGTGGCCCCAGATGTATGTATGTTGTCTGGCCAGCACTCAGCAGCCTCACATATGTATATATATTCTAACTTTTGTTGAGGAGGAATCTCCGCACTCACTTTGCCCTGGTCCCCACCATTCCCTCCTGTCCCTCTTCATTCATTCATGAACCCACCTGGCCATGGCAGACCCCAGAACTTGTGACCCTGCCTTAGGGACTCTGGAAGCACATTTTGGGGGCCGCTATCATGCTGTGAAGCTGAGCTGCCAGGGGCTTCCAAGGGAGGGGCGGCCATTTCTCTGCTCCCCTAGCATTCTGAGGAGGAACCGGGGTCCAATTTTGCCAAGCCTCCTTGGTGTCTGCTTCAGGCATCCCTTTCAGAGTGGAAATGCTGGACCACCTTCTCAGAAGCTCCCGCCCAGGCTGTCCCCAAATAACCAAGTCACAGCCACTCCCACCCCATCTTCCTAGCCCCTTCGCCAGCCTCACAGGGACTGGTGGTCAGCAGAGCAGGCGGGCTGATTGCCCTTTGGGACCCTGGGCAAAGCGTTCCCTTCGCAGCCCCTCTTTGCCCAGCAGCAATGGGCAGGTTGGAGGAGGTCACCTCTGAGGTGGCTTCCAGCGCCCACGTTCACTTCTGCTTTATTACTGTCTAAAGTCCAAGCCGGGCCCCAGCCCCTCTTCCTGGAGCCTCCTTCTCAGCCAAGCCCCAGCTGCCTCCTCCCACTGCCCCCCAAAACCCCCTTATCAGGGGACCACAGGTGCCAGGTCCATCTGCTTCTCCAGTCTCTCGTCACCTCCCCAAACCCAGGTGAGTCAGGGCCGTGCGGGGTGCCCAGTGCCCAGGGACCCCGCCGACTCGGCCTGGGGCCCCCTCCCCGCTACCCCCATCTTCAGACAACTCCCAGAGCACTGCACTCAGGAAAACCGCAGGGCGTTTTGTCAAGATTTCATTACAATTTTATCAATCAAATTCTTAGAAGAGGGAAAAAGTCTGCTCCCCCCTCCCCCCCCACTCTCACTTTCCTCCATTCATAATTTCCTATGATGCACCTCAAACAACTTCCTGGACTGGGGATCCCGGCTAAATATAGCTGTTTCTCTGTCTTACAACACAGGCTCCAGTATATAAATCAGGCAAATTCCCCATTTGAGCATGAACCTCTGAAAACTGCCGGCATCTAAGGTCTCCTCCAAGGCCCTCTGCAGGAGTCCAGCCCATAATGAAGGTCTTGGCGGCAGGTAAATCCACCCGCCCGCGCCGGCTTCCGCGTCCCGCTGCAGACGCGGCGGCAACTTGGGGCCCGCGCCCTCGGGAC